AGTGAAGTCACAGCACGGCTCTTTCTCGATAATGTATATCGATATCATGGACTACTAGATGATATCGTATCAGATCTAGGAACCCAGTTTGTATCAAAGTTTTGGAGATCTCTCTTTGAGATACTAAAGGTGGATATCAAGCTTTCTTCGACTTTTCATCCTCAAACTGGCGATCAAACGGAACAGGTGAACCAAGTCTTGGAACAATACTTACGATGCAGCATCAACTATCAGCAAGACGATTGGACCACATATCTGCCGCTAGCGGAGTTTACATATAATAACACCCTCCATGCGTCGACTCAATACACACCATTCTTTTCCAACTATGGGTATCATCCAAAGCTTGATTTATTGAGTCCATCAACAAATAACAATCCATCAGCTGAAGGATTTAAGAAACAACTATCAGAGCTTCAAAATACGTTGAAGCTTCAATTACAATCCGCTCAAGAATCCTACAAGGCGTCTGCAGATAGATTTTGGAATCAAGCACCTACTTTCAAAATTGGAGATAAAGCATGGCTTCTTCGATGGAATATCAAGACCAAGCGACCATGTGATAAGTTGGACTATCGAAGATTGGGACCATTTATCATCCAAAAGCAAATCAATCCAGTGGCGTATCGTCTGGAATTACCAGCTTCTATAAAGGTACATCCAGTCTTTCATGTTTCTTTGTTGGAGCCTTATCGAGAGTCATTTTTTCCTGAAAGAGTGCAATGTCTGCCACCTAGTATTAAGATCAAGAACCACGAGGAATACGAGCTTGAAAAGGTGCTGGATTCTCGGCGAAGGTGGGGCAAGTTGGAGTATCTTGTTCATTGGTGCGGCTACGACATTAATGAGCAAACGTGGGAGCCAGCTGAAAATCTCACCAATGCGCCGCAAAAGGTACAGGAGTTTCATCAACAACATCCTCATAAACCTAAGTCGGTTCGACAATAGCTTCTTTCTGAAGCTTGCTCACCCAAGAATATAAGAAAGGGAGAGAGCACCACCAAAATTCGTAGTTGATGTAGTTATTTTCTCCAAGATAAAATAGAATTTTTTCAGTAGCCATTGTTTGGTCTTCTGATATGGATAGCCAAGAGATAGATACTATGCCAGTCAGATTATCTCAACCAACTAGTTCACGAAGGCGACCCCGAGATGAAGAACCACCTGCACTACGACGACGACGGAGGATACCAAGTAACCGATCACTGGTGATTGTATTTGAGTCCGAGCCTACTTACGATGGTCAACCAGAAGGCATATTTGGAGGACAATTTCACAATGAAGACACGGAAGTTCATGCTTGGTCAGAAGTTGAAGGAGTGGGCCACTACCGTTGGCTTCAAGGGCCGATGAACCACTTACCTCGTGAACAACAGTTGGAGTTCATAGCAGACGTTATGCGACAGATCTTCATTTTCTTACGTTGGTACTGATTGACAACAACATTGCTTCTCAGAGACCTCGAAGCTAAAAGAGGGGGTGATGTTAGGGACATAGTCCTTAGAATCTTCTAGAGACAAGTTTCTAGAACCTTCTAGAGACAAGCTTCTAGAACCTTCTAGAAGCAAGTCTCTGGAACCTTCTAGAAGCTTCTTAGTTGGTAGAAGATGTTAGGGACATAGTCCTTAGAACCTTCTGGAGATAAGTTTCTAGAACCTTCTAGAAGTAAGTCTCTGGAACCTTCTAGAAGCTTCCTAGTTGGTAGAAGTTGCTTGAGAAGCTTCCTAAATATGAGTATATATTGGGATCGAGGCTGAAGAGTTCTTCAATCTCGACAACACATCTCTTGGAGCTTTAGCTCACCTCTTTGGTGTTGTTCTTGTATTCATCTGATTAATCTAGTTCTTGCCAGTTCTTCTTGAACTTCTTGGTAGATATCAAGTCTGTATTCTATGTCCGTGACAGATGAAGATCCTTATTTCTACCTTCATCCAACCATGCCTTGGTTTCATCCCTCTCAATTAACCACCTATTAGTTTAAATCTTCATCTTTAGGCTTCTACCTTCTCCCAAGGCTTCATACTAAATATTTAGGTCCTATATATATATATATATATATATATATATATATATATATATATATATATATATATTTAATGTCAAAATCAAAAGAAATAAAGAAACAAAGTAAAGTTTCTTATACCAACTCTTTTTAATTTAATCTACTAGCCCTTCTAACACACATCTAGATTTATCAACATATAATATGTTTTAACTAATTTTTTACATACTGTAAGCATTTACAATACGACAGCGACATTCTATAGGACATCCAATACATGTCTAATTTGCAAGACATATTTTTAACTTACAAGATAAGTTTTCTATATGTGTGCTACATAATTAGCTTGTTTCAAAAGCTATTAATACATGCAATAAGTGGGTAACTTATTGGCCAAGTTTTTAACCTATCAATCACTTATAAACATATATAAAGATAAAAATCCATCTATAAAGCTTTTAGGAATATTTTTTATAAGATATTATCAACTTAATTTATTTTTATCTACTTCTACCTATTCATATTATCTAGATTACTATTAGAATAAATATGTTCATGACACTACTACAACATTGACTTGATTGTGTACAAGTTTGCAACAATATTATTGTAGAATCCATCTTTGTCCATATGTATGTTGTAGCCTTATTTAAGTAGAAAGGATTTTAATTAACTAAGGATGCACTTATGTATTGCTTGTGCATTTGAATTTGGTTTAGATTGCAAAATTCATGATTGATTTGTAGCACTCAATGTATTGCATATGACAATCTTTGTTTATATAAAACCTATCATGTAATGTGGCATTAGTACCAAATGTCATTTGATATGTGTAATTTACTTTGATTTAGTGATTTTTTATCCAATTAGCATTTTTTATTTGTTGAATTTATTAGTATTAATTGAGATTTGAAGACTTTGGTAGAAAAACCTCCTTGATTTGATATTATTGTCGAATGAAGTCTTGTGAGCAATTTGTATTTAGAGTGTATATTTCATGATTAATTTATAGAACTCAATTTATTATGTATAATGATCTTTATTTATACAACAAGCTATAAGTGATAGTTAAATAATTTTATGTATATATAATAAGAACATTTTAATAACTTCAATTTGTTTAGAGATATTTAAAGATAGACTTTGAAACTTTTAACGAAATTATTTATTAGAAGAAAAAATGATGTAATGAATATGAAATAAATTGTAGTTTTAAGGACTATTAATATTATTTTTTTTAAAATCAAATATTTTTGCAAGTTTTATTTCTCTATTTTTTAAAAATTTATAAATTTATAAAAAACAAAGAGATTATTTTCAATATTTTTCTATTTTTTAAAAAATCTAAAAGTCTAAAAAAAATCTAAAATATTCAAAAAAAAATTATACTTATCTATAGATTCTACAACTATTAGTTTATGAGACATTGTGGATATAAAATCAACAAAATTCAATGGTTATTAAAACCTCCTTTAGAATTTTTTTCAAGGCCTAATTTCTATGATATGTTTAAAGAAACAAGACTTGAAAGTTACTTTAATCTTATAAACTCAATTTTGAAAAAAATCTAATTATTGCATTGGTTTCTTATTTAATACCTAGTCTTGCTTTTAAGATAAAGATTTTTTTTTTAAAACCTTATTTTCTTAGTCTTCTATTTTATGGATTTAGCTTTTATTATATAGAAATATTTTTATATCTTCCAAAAATAATAATTTCTTAAATTTGCTTCAAACTAATAAAACTAAATATCTTTTGTCCTTGTTCATTTGTGTGATGGATAGAAAAATAGCAATCACTATTTTATTTTATTTTATTTTAGTAGATTATATATAATCATGTTCTTAGATATTGCTTAAGAAGTTATGTCAATTATATTTTTCATATCTGAGGCACTTTTAAAAATTAAAAATGAAGTAAAAATAGAAATATATAAAATAAAATAAAATAAAATAAAATTGGTTTGAAAACTTAAAAATTATCTTTTCTTGAATGAAATGATAAAGCAACAAAGATTTAAAATCAATGTTTATACAAGTAAGCATTGATTCATTGACTTTATTATCTCCTTATAATTAACATGAGTCGTATAAAAATTATAAGTAATTTTTTAGATAACAAATCAACTTATAATAAATTGTGGTAGTCATCAAAATTATACAATGTTACATTTTTAAACTTCCAAAAACTATTACTTTTGAGCCTCAGAAATGTGTCATTGATGTTCTTCTTTATCAAAGACATCTATTAAGAATAAAAAAATAATATTCCAATTAATTAAAAGTTAATAGTGAAAGCATTTATTTAAGCATATATATGTATATAAACTTATATATATATATATATATATATATATATATATATATATATTTCTATTATATAAAACAGTTTGGGTATAAGATAAAGAGAAAAAAATGCATTTTGATTGGATGTTGAGAAGTGAACTTTGAGAATACATGAAGTGGATGGAACCATGAGGATTTCCAAGAGGTTGGAATGCTGAAGATTTCTCAATAACAGTTCTTTGTAGATTATGAGTTTTTCTTGTATGTATGTGTATGTTTGGTTGATTATCTCTTCTCTGTCTTTCCACGTTGTTAATCCTTGGTTTTCCCTTTTCCCATCCTTAATTACACACAGAGTTTTTGTGTGGTGAATAGAAGGAGCTCTGTACTGCCAGGGGCATAAAGTCCCCTCCAGATCCATCACTTTACGTTGCATAATAGAGTCTTCGACTCAATGGAGAATTTAAAACTCTGTTCAATAATAGAATACCAGCGGATTGCGCCGGACAGGATCAATTCAGTTATACCGTCCGATGATGGAATTTATCATCCATCTAGCACGCACCAAATACGCGAACGAAGTAAAGGAAATATAAAAATACACACAAATTTAACGACATTCATTCACTTCAAAAGTTCATTCATTTAATCGTCGCCGTGAGGGGGGTGGAGACGACGGCGTAGGACCAGGACTTGCCCGATTCGGTGCTCGCAATCCCTTCAATCCCCCGTTTTACTTACTCTTTTGTGGGTGTTGTGGAGTAGCCATGGCTGGGTCGTTGCTCGCTGCTGAGATCCTCCCGGACTACGCGCTCCTCCTGGCCTGCGCCTGCACTTGGACTCTCGGGCTTCGCCGATCCAGAATTGGTTCAGAATCGCGAATGCTCGAGTTTTGCGTCTCAGAGACGACGACGACGACGACGACGACGACGACGGAGCGTGGTGGAGGACCAGGAGTTTGATAGTCGGTCAATATTTGGTTTCAGATCTTCCCCGCTGGTACTTGAAGAGTCGCTGCTGTTGATATCACGTTTTGACGTGTTGCAAACTGGGGCAGGTGCTGAGGAATATCCCTGTTTGTTTCGAAGGACGGGTTGGGGACTCCCTCAGAGAATCCACTCGTGGTGTTCGTTTGTGGGGTAATCGGACAGGGTTTAGAAACGAAGAGTTGGTGAATTTGGCGGAGAATAAGGAAGAGAGGCGCACTAGGTGGATGGCATAAAGAGACCCTAACTTTGAGTTGCAAGGGAAAAGAGCTCAGCTTGCAATTTGAGCGTTTTTTTTTTTTTTTTTTTTTTTTTTTGGATGCGCGTTTGGTAATTAGAGGAGAAGGTGAGCTGTGTTACTGAGGAGGTCTGAAGAAGAATACGAGTTCTGTAGTTGAATTGTTAAGGATTTTGGAGAATTTGAGCTGATTTTAGGAGTTGTTGGGTTAGTTGAGTAAAAATGGTGAAGGAAACAGAGTATTACGAGGTTTTGGGGGTGCAGCCAGAAGCAACAGCTTCAGACATCAAGAAGGCGTATTACATGAAGGTAGATTTTATTTCTGTAGATGCTCTGAAAAAATGTGATTGCATAACTCCTGGCTTAAACTATGCTTAACTTTTCGGAACTATGTTGAAGATGAAAGAGCGTCAGATAAGTTTTTTCTGCGTGAATCTTCAGGCTTTCAGAAACTTAAGAAAAAAGAAAAAAGAAAAAGATAGAAAAGAAAAGAGTGATTTCTGTCGGTGACAAGTGGATTCGCGGCAAAAATTTCTTCGACGGGTAGTTTCTTCTATCGTGTAGTGCACATGACTTAATCATCACCTTGATAGATAGCTGTAGTGTTTCAAACCGGGTACACCTAATTTGGATTTATCCTTGATTGACAAATTTGTTTACTGACTAATGAGACCCTCATCTGAAAGTCAATGGTATAGGAGGAGAACAATGCGCACTTATCTGATCTATCTGGCTACGTCATATGTATGTATCATTGTAAGACAGTGACGAGTGTTCATACGTGTGCTGAATTTTTATAACTGCAGGCAAGGGCGGTTCATCCAGATAAGAACCCCAATGATCCTGAAGCGGCGCATAATTTTCAGGTTGGTCTTTCAATATAGATTTATCGTCGTGAAGTCTTTCAGTTCCCAACTCAAAGAGCATTGAATTCTTTGATTGCATCATCGATTTTCTTTTGTACACTTTTGAGTTAGATACCTCTTGATGTCAAAGACACTTGGCGCGAAATGGAGACATGGATTTAGGACACGATCTTGTCCATCTTTTGGGATGTAACCTTGTCTTTGAATGAAATGCCGTTATGGTTTGAAGGTTTTAGGAGAAGCCTATCAAATACTAAGCGATCCGCAAAAACGAGAGACGTATGATAAGTTCGGGAAGCCGACGGTTTCGCAGTACGTTCTATTCAACCTTAGTGAGTGTTGGTTTTATGGGCTCCTTAAGCCTCTCCAACACCATTGCTGTATTTTTGAGCAATTCTACGAATTTCCATATTCTTCCCTGCTTGCCAGGAGACCACAAGACTTCAATTCGCAAGTCTTGCTTCGACTCTGTACATCATTATACTTTTGGTCTGTTTGCCTTCATTGATATGTTGCATAAGCATACAGCTATAGTAGTTGTATGTTTTAAGTATTTTGTTGGATTTTTTTCATGTATGATCATGTTTCAACAATCTTTCTAGATTTTCGCTAGGTGTTAAAAGCATACTAATTATGCTTTCATAACTTGGTGATGGATGTTTAGGGATGCAATGATGGATCCAGCTGCAGTGTTTGGAATGCTGTTTGGGAGTGATGCTTTTCAAGACTATGTGGGCCAGGTATGCCGTTTCGAATGGCTTGAAATGTGACAAATGAACCACAATTCACTCTTAGTTTTCTGGTCCGAGTAAAAGTAGCATTTGTGGATTGGACTCTGGGTATATCAGCTTTCCAAATGAGATGTCTTTATTTTGGACGATGTTATGATCATTTTTTAGTTTGATTTGTTATGTCCTTAATTCCATGGCTTCTGCTGTTACGACTGTACCCTATTGCAAGTCTGATTTGGAATTCGGAAACTGGCTACTTATATGCTAATTAGCCCCTATATGCGTTAATTGCACTCTCTGAAGTTGACATCATGATCAACATCCTGATAAAGCACCTGAGTTTGTCCTAAGTGCAGTTTTGTTTGAAATTGCAGCTTGCAATGGCGTCAATGGCATCAATGGATACTGACGTTAACGGTCAACCAGTGGATATGAGAGAAGCTCAAGCAAAATTCAAGGTTAACAAAGCTTTGACATGCGTATGTTTAGGATGGATCTCGACAGGTATTTGAATTGAAGCTGCTCGGAACATCTGATTGGTAATATTCAGTTGGAAATGTATTCAGGAAGCACAAAGAGAAAGGGAGGCTCAACTAGCGGTTCTTTTACTTGAGCGTATTGATCGGTACGTGAAAGGTGACAAGCAAGGATTTACTACTTGGGCTCAAGAAGAGGGTCTTCAACTTGTAGAAGCTGGTGCGTACGTGTGTATATATATATATATATATATATATATATATATATATATATATTTTCATCATGGTAGTTGTTCTTTGTTTACTGATGCTTAGGGATATAGTTACAGAAATGTGCTGGTCAGTATTTAATTTTCTGGTCAGTATATCGAATTAGTCGTAGGGATGTTAGCTATTCTGTATGAGTGAATAGTGTGTCGTGCCATACGGTAGTCGTGCTTATCGGTTAGTCGATAGTCGTTTCTGATGTCTCAAAATGCACGATTCAAATGCATACTTCCGCGATGTAGTATAAATCTCACGTTTTAGATTTTAGGACTTATTTGTCAGTTTATCAAACTTGAATAACACAGGGCCTTACTTGAATGTGTTAAAGTTTATGTTCAGCTAGCACCCTAATTCCATTTTCCATGGGAAGCTTTAATTTCTCGATCAGAGAACTCGGTAGATCGAATCTTTTATACAAGTATCGATTCGAGTATGGATTGAATGCATAAGTGTTGATAATTGAAAGCACGTGCTTTATGCATATTATGATTGTCGAACTAAATTAGTGGTTGAATTTGGCAGTTTTTGGGGAGGAAATGCTTCACACCATTGGATATATTTATGCAAGACAAGCCGCAAAAGAGATGGGCAAGAACTTATTTTTCCTGGGGGTTCCATTCTTAACAGAATGGGTGCGTGACAAAGGTCACTTCATCAAGTCTCAAGTTACCGCCGCTGCTGGTATTTCCTTTGTCGTTGTATTAATTACTGAAAGAAGATATTTACTAGGACTCCTTTTCACTAGTTGCAGTGAGCAATTACATTATAATGCATTCCTATCAAATTCCATTGCATTTCGCACGAACTTGGGCGTTGTCAGGATGCTATATGGTGTCTACTGTTGACGTCTATCAGTGAAGGGATACGATATTGCCTAAGTGACGTAATTTTATAGCGCTAGTGACAACTGCTTGTTTCACGTCTGGACGTGCTCTGATCTTCTCTGATATTTGTTAATCTCATCTCATAGGGGTACAGCATTTTTTTTTTAGTATTGCAAATCTTGTAATTGTAATGTTACCTGGTATTTGTAATTTTCTTCTATATTTTGTTTGTAGGTTCTGTTATAGTTGGCTAATTTTGTCCATGATGGAGTATCTGCCCAGGTGCAATACAACTGATGCAAATGCAAGATGATCTAAAGAAAGCAATGGAGGCTTCTGACCGCAACGGGGACGAAGCTGTTGAAAGTTACTTGGAGGCGAAGCAAAAAGTGATGCTGGACTCATTGTGGAAGCTCAACGTTGCTGATATAGAGCTTACTTTGTCCCATGTTTGCCAAGCGGTATGATTACCAGACGCTCCAACTATAAGCCATATCTTTCTACTCTTTTCGGTCACTGCATTCCTTACATACTCAGATGTGCTGGTAGGTTGTGGATTTAAAGGATAGAACGCTCTGAATGCTAAACTTCGTTCCATGCCGATGCATTTTACACCATACATTTTAGAATTCCAGTTGTACATTTTTTTTCATATTGTGCGATGATGCTTGTATATATTCACAATTTCATAGGTTCTTCGACAATCTGGTGTCAAGAAAGATGTGCTGAGGCAGAGGGCGAAAGCGCTCAAGAAAATGGGCGCCATATTTCAGGTAAGTTTTACACGATTGGGTTTTGTAACGGTGCAACTGATGACTTATTAGTAGGGTTTTTGGAGTTCGTAACTACAAAAGGTATATTTAGCGAAGTGCGTAAGTCACATGGCAATTGGTTATCAAGTTTGGTTTATTTTAGGGAGCCTAATCCGCATAGCATGGACAAGTATTTGTCGGCACTGATTTCAAATAATTTGTGTGACTGATAATTCAAAATGTGAAGGGGACCCAGAGAGACCATGAATTGCATCGAAAAGACGGGAATCTTTCGGACCCCGTCGACCTTCCTAAAGTTGAATCAGCACCGAAATCCTTCAGACAGGCTAAAAGTGCCAGCTTCAACCAGGTTAGTGACGATAATTCTCAATCCTTGTACCACTCTGTAATATGAATCGGAGTTCATTATTGCGCACTCCAACTTTTGAAAGGTCCAGAATTCTCTTGGTACTGTAATATCTCATTCGACGGTCATGGTCATAAAGAGAGTACCTTTTTAAAATTATTTGAGATATGTTCAATGATAGTTAAATTGGGGTTATGTGAAATCACACCAAGGGCTAGTTGTTAAGAATTTTATCCTATAGTTTTTATCCAAGTGACTGTATTTTATCCTTGATGTTGTGGTTGGTGACTGGGCAAGTATTAACTGGACAATGTGCTAATTTTTTTTGTAATCAATATTGAATGAAGTAGTTAATTAGCATGGACATTCATATCCAGTCTCTATCGCCCCTCGTAATTTATCAGACATTTATTCTCATCAATAGACTGGAATGAGAAGTGGTCTGAGAGACTGGATCTACTGGATGAGTATGTTGCAGGACAAGTCAAGGCTCTTGCCTAGGAAAAAGGGGTATTCGGGAAAAGGGTGCATGTGTTACACATGACGGCCTCATTCTTCGCTGGATGCTATTTCTGATTAGATTTTCCCGGTGGATGTCCAGGCTTCAGGATCTGGTTGATACTGATAAAAATAAAACATTCCTGGATGAATGCTCCGCCTTGGTGAATTCTCATCTTCTTTTCTCCCGTTTGTCAACGAAGACAGATGCTGCAATCTAGATATACATGCTGGGGCCGTGATTAGGGAGGTCTGAAACCCATTCATCTTTTCTCTTAGCGTGTACTCTCATAAATGTTCCCCCTCCGTCGCCTGCGGCATCTTGACGAACTGAAAAGTGTCAGAAAGCCTGGAGCAGTTGCTTAGAACTTTTAAAGCTCTCTAGAAGCACTTCTTGATTGAAGTCACATGTGAACATCGTTCAGGCCTGCAATGAGAAGTTGAAGGTCCCAAAGGTACAGCTTTTGTAGATGATTAGATCTTATTTTTGCGTCGTGAGTACTTGTTTGCAGAGGTCATTCTTTATAGTTTTCATTCTTATCAAATATTTGTAATTTGATTGTATAAGTATTCCTTAAAAAATAGTGTAGATTAAATTCCGCTCACCTTCTGTTATCCTTTTATTGGTTTGAGATAGTAAACGTGCCTATTGTATTGGTTATGAAGGATAAAGATATTTAAATGTTCGCATTTTTTTACTGCGTATTATGGTTGAATGTAATCTCAACATGTATGGTATAGAAAAATTATCCGGTTTTTGGGTGGAGTCTTCAAATAACAGATAAATTGATCAATCATTTCAAAGTTGTGCTGATCCCTCACAAGCTTTTTCCTATTCCGAGTAAATTTAGTTTACATTGCGACATGTTCACTCGAACATGTACCGTATAGGCATCATGTTTTAAGACATCTAAAATGTATAACTTAAAGTCATGACGTTATTATTCTTCCCTGTGTAAATGCGACGAAACAAACTGCTCCAGGCTTTCTGACACTTTTCAGAAGACGTATATCAGTGTAGTCGCTCAACATGATCCCTCTGGGTACGAGGTTTTTCTGGGATTAGATTCAAAGACTATATTTTTGCCACACTTTTGCTATCATGGAGAATATGAACTTTACAGCTTACAAGTACAAGCAATGAGGAGGGCAAAGTTTGATGACAGGGCACGCGCACCAATCCCCCACAAAATGACCGGGCAGATTGAAATGCCTCAGAATCTGTAAAACAGACACTTGAATGCTGAAAAGTACAGAAGTACTTCGGATGAGTCGAATGACACCGACATTGAACTTTCAATCGTTGACTCACATCACCACAAGATGTTGATTTATTCATGTACTTCAACAAGTAAGTTGGAGGAGTTGAATGGACCTGAGAAAAAAAGTACAGAGAATGTCGCAAACATGGTGAGCTAAATGTGTGAATTACCAAGAGAATAGAACTTTTTTTGGGGAGAGGGGAAAGGTAATTGTTCAAAATAATTGTTTCAAATATTTTGCTAGCATAGACTATTAAAACTACGCATTGGTCACTTTAGGATCCATGGAACTGGATCGTATCTTAAATAACTAACAGCGCATAGAAAGGGTTGAGAAATTCTAAATGCAAAAAGGTTTCTAACATTAAAAAGTCCGAATTTGAACGCCTACGAGCATTGTGATCAAACATCCAAACGAACTGCACTATGAAGAAGCCGCTGCTTTGAGTGTAAGTAACCTTTTTTAATTGAAAACTGAAAATTGAAAAGAAAAAAACGAAAAAAAAAAAAAAAAAAAAAAAAAAGTTATGGCTCAAAGCAGTGTACAAAGTGGGGGACAAAAAGCCATCTACACCATTATACTCCAACCCTGCTTCATTGCTGGGGAGGAGGTGGCCTATGCATCATCTGCTGACCCATGTTGGGAGGTGGGGGACCAGGAGGCCTCATGCCTTGGTTCATTGGAGGCCCTACTTGGTAACTCTGTGGAGGTGGCCCTTGATTATAGCCCTGGGACGGACCATCTCCCATTGATGGAGGTGGCCCTCGCATGCCAGGAGGGGGACCGGGAGGAAATCCCCGAGGGGGTCCTCCCATCTGCGGAGGACCACCCATCGGTGGACCTCCAGGGGGGAACATCGGACGATGAGGGCCATTCATGTTTTGTTGGGGATGTCCCATTTGGTGAGGGGCACCCATGGGAGGTGCGCCTCGTTGGGGTGGACCCCCCATTGGAGGACCGCCTGACATTGGTCCTCCCCCAATATGATGTGGTGGTGGTGGAGGCCGATTAGGAGGAGGTCCACTAGAGGGCGCCCCGTTGGCACCCAAAGCCGGAGCCCCTTTCTGATCGGCGGGTCTTGGTTTGAAATAGAGTTGAAGCTGCAGACACACGCACATCCATAAAAAACTTTAATCCAAATTGTTCGTTTCACGAAAAAGAGTCGGACAGGACGAAAACTTCTCCCAATATCCCAAGAAGCAACTTACGGAAAGATCACAATTGAAGTCCGATTGCCATCCCCACATTACTCTAACCTCTAACCTAATACAAGTATGTTTGCATAAGCACATTGTAAATATCGAAAGATATGACGAGATAGACCACATTCAACTCTTGTCACAAGCTGCACTTAATACACGTTAAGATTGCCCACAATCTAGTCAGATAGCTCGGTATGCTTACCGTAAACATTTTTGTGTCTGGGTCCCAGTGAGTGAAAAACTTGTTTGAAACTTTATCGATTTCAGTGCTGGGAACCTGAGGAGACACATGCAGATGTCAGGAGAAAACCTTAATGTTGAGTACCATATCTTATGACTTACACTTTTCGGTTTGTTATGCAACAAACATGCTTATCTACCTAAACAGGTGTTTGATATGTAAAACCTTGCTTTATTTGAATCCAACACGAACAAAATTTAGACGTAGCAAAAATATATACAAGCTCTGAAAGACAGGGATTCTCATGAAGTGAAAGTCAGCATCAATAACCTTGAAAGCAATGATTTCGTAAGGCTCGGCAGCAAATAAAAGATACTGGTAGCGCTTGTCCCAAGCCTGTACCCTCTGCAATCAACAACAGTGAAAGTGATCAGAAACAATATCTTCGATAGTTCAAACCAGGGAAGAGCAAACAAACATTTCAATTCTCAAGTATAAGTTCAGTCTGTCCACGTCCAATAGCACAGCTAACTCCGTAACGAAGTGCACCTTCAACTGCAATTCCGTAATCACATAAAAACTACATGACATGAATCTGGAATTTTTCGACTCCACTGAAGTCTTGACTATACCTATCCATTGTAATGTTGAATAATTTTTTCAGACATATAACCTTACAAAGAAGTTTAATTCGTAAACGTGGAATTTACCTGTTCATAAGATGACATAAATCGATGGCGAGGCTTGGTCCCCTCCTCTATTTCAGGGTACTCAATCTGTAAAAAGATTGATGTTAACCGGAGGAGAACTTCACTCATGAACTGAAAAGAATAACTATGACAACAAGTCCCTGTTAATGAGGTCCATTACAAAAATAAAACAATACAAATAAGCATTTGACATGGGCATACCTGGAAAAGTAGTGAACGCTGTCTAGTCTCCTGATCAAATTGCTTAGTTACTCGATAACCCGGGCGACCAATTTTAACTGAGGGAAATCAATCAGCTGAATTAATCTGGGGATCGATGCTCAGGCAAACACCAATGTTGAATGGAATGAACCACACAAATGTCTTAAAGCACCAGAATCTAGTCATACCATGAAGAGCAGGTGCTAAAAATAAGGTAAACACGAATGACTAGGATGACTAGGATGAAAAGCTAAACCCTAACATTCTCCATAGCAGAATAGGCTATCAAATGCCACAAATAATTCTCCGCAAAACCGTAGGTAACGAAAACCACTAATTCTCTTGGGTTCTTGACATAACCCAGGCTATATTTCGAAAATTCCATGAAGCTCAAGAGAAGAAGTTATCGATAATCTGTAATCACCTGTTTTACGTGGATTAACTTTTCGTTTATTGGGTTGAGGCTGGGCAGGAGCATCTTTCGCTTCACGAGCTGCACGTTTCGCCAAGTTGGTCTGATGCCGTTTCCCCTGAGTGTGAGCCAGATAATTACCCTCGTTGTTGTGGAGCGTCAAACAAAGCTTACATTCATAACTGCACACAACACAAACCGCTCAAAATTCAACAAGATTTTCGACTTAGCGCAATCAATTTCCATTCCATCACAAATCTACACACATACAGCAGAAAAATCTAAACAAGAAAACAGGGGAAAACAAACCTAACGACTACGAGAACCAACCCAGGCTCATAAAAACCGCTAGAAACGCGAACCCTAAATCCAATTCTAAAAACACTCATAGATTCTCAATGAAACAGCAGGAACAACCTACCTTCCAAGATGATTTCGCATGAAATAAGGATCCTTGGCAAGGTCGATGGTCTCCAACGCCAAACGCCGAAGGCGCTCCCGTCGATCAATGGCCTCGTTCTGGGCCGAGGCAGCGCCTCCGCTCCCAGGCTTGCTGCCATAATCACGGTCCATGACGCAGCGAGCTCTCCAACAACAAACAAAATACAGACACAAACACACACTCACACACACAAATCGGGTGGAGCCTGAGTGGAGCTCGAGTGGAGCGAGAATTCGTGTGCAGGATTAGGGTTTAGGGTTTCGTCGCGCGGTCTTGGCGACGAAGACGACGAGGATACCTCTTCACACTGCGAATCTTATTACTCGCGACACAAACCGAGACACTAAACTCACTACTCACTACTCATGGCTACTATTACTATCACTTTTGTATATAGTGTGACCTTCTCTTTACAAATAATGGAGTATGGCGATGTGGGGCAATTTGACTTTTGTGTCATACCCACCATTTTCATGCTTAGGTCCTTTTCACATAGATCGAAAAATGTAATCTTTGGAGTTTTATAATACGTAATGTTTGATGAAAATAGACTGAAGTAAACTTATGATTTGTGCTTCATTTCTATCGTGATATAATTGAATATGATTAATTGGAAGTTAGTGGACCATTGAAGAGCATGTTGGGCAAAAATTATTTAATTTAATTTAATTCATCCAATCTTTAAAAAAATATCTTCAAGATTATTTTTTTTTTCTTTTTTCTTTTTTTTTGGTGAATGTAACAACTAATTTTGAGTATGTGTTACTGAAAATAGTTTTTAATTGTTGAGTACTATACTTAGACTTATATACTCGTAAATTTAATATTGTATTTTATTTAAATATTAACAAATATATATACACACAAAGACAATAGAAAAAGTCACCCAATTGAATTGCTTTGCTCAGTCAAGCAGATATAAAACCAAAAAGTTGTAACTGAACAACAACTATAATTAAAAAAATTAATACGGCTTTTAATATTAAAACTAAAATTCAGTACAAAAATAAAAGAACCAAAAAATGTATTTACATGTAACAATCATACCAAATTTATAATTTCTTTTCATAGTAATTATTTTTATAATTGTTTAATTATATTTTATTATACTTCATTATTATTATTATATATATATATATATATATATATATATATATATATGTATCTATGGTCAAATTTGAAAAAATAAATGGTATCATTGAAGTTAATTTAGGTATTGGAGAAAAAAAAACCAAAGTAATAAAAAAAATTATTAAGTGCATATGGCTAATCTATGTGTTATTTTTTTTATTATTAATAAAGATAAGTCTTTAACAATATCCATTCATCATGTATGCAAGCAATTAGTTGGTTATAATACAAAAAATTCAATCCATATGTCTATATATATATATATATATACCATTGTATCTCTTTAAGTTGATACTTTATAATTTGATATCCTATCTTTCTTGATGCTACTTTTCATCCACCAAATTGGTTCTTTGGCTAAATGTTAAGTTATAAGAGGAACTCTAGAACTTGATAGCGTCATCTACTCAATATAATTCTTGACTATTCATCGTATCAACTTAGAGAAGCAACATTGTATATAATTGTATGAATTTTCTTGTAAAATATATTTAACTAAAAATTAAAGTTTTAAAATTATTAATCTGAAAATCTTAATTTGAGACAAAATTATTTCTTTATTAGCCTTCTAAAAAGTAAAATTTAAAAATATACTCATATCTTTGGAAAAAAAAAAGTACATATTTTTGCTTCTATGATAAGTAAAAATCTTTAAAAATTATTAACCGAAATCTAATAGAAAATATTTAGGAAGTTATTTGCGGCTATTTTTTTAAAAAAACTAATGTTCTTAAAGATCTCTTGCAAGCAGAGGTTTTATTTTTAAAAATAAAATGTTTCTAGTGCAAGGAATAAATAAAAAAATCGCGTAAATTCAATAGAAAGTGTTGAAAATCAGAAAAATAAAAAATTATACAAGAAATAAGACATTTAAATAAAAAGATGTTATTTTATAATATAATGTATATAAATTTAAATTTTGAGGATGAAACAAGTAGAAGAGGTTTGATTCTAAAAAACTGTAATTTATCTTAAAGAAATTTTTTTAAAAAAAAAAACATCAGCAAATCTTTGTAGTCAAGAAAAAGCATATTAATATGAATAAAGGATAATAAATTTAAATACTTGCCATAGAATACTTTTTTAAAATAGATTACACAAGAAAGACGTGCAATGAAAACAAATTAGTATGATGGTAATATTATATTTATTTAAAGAAAAAAATATGAAATATTTACAAATAATTTAATTTTATATTAGTATAAATTATAAGACATATCATAGTATCAAATAAATTTATAGTAATATATTTTATGGAGTTAAAATATATTTCTTTTAATATGTAATTAATTTACATAATAATTCTAATCATTGAAAAATAGTTTATCTAAAACAAATAAATTTATAAAAGATATTTTCTAGGAATAGTTTTTTTTCTTAAAATAAAAAAGATATAATAAGTAAAAAAAATCTGAATATAAACACATTACATTTATTTATAAAAAATATTTTTTTATATTTATAAGACTCAATTTAATCATATTAAATTATATTAGCTACAAGTCATGAATTTACAAAATTAGGTGCAAAAATAGATAGATATTAAAATTTGATGTTTATAAGAATATATTTTTTAGTTAGTCCAAAAACTTTCAAAATCTTTTTTATTTAAGTTAATAATTGAAGGATAATAAAAAAAAGTTTAAGACAAAATACTTAAGAGTGATCTAAAAATAAAAAAATAAGAATAGTCTAAAGAAAAGTAATCAAGACTAAAAATAGTCCAATTTAAGATAAAATGCTTCAAAAAGTATAATTTGATTTGATAAATCATCATATAAAAAGATGCTATAGTTGGCAATACCATCCAAAATTAAATCTAAGTCTTTTAGGTTATTAAGATCTATTCTAATCATTTGGGACAACCTTTGATATTTAATATATATATATATATATATATATATATATATATATATATATATTTAAATAATAAAGATTATGCATTTTTTCTATTACCACTAAACTAAAGAATAATTTAAAAATAAGATGTAGAAGATAAATTCATCTTTTTAGAATTAACTTTTGTTAAATAAAAAATTAATAAAGTATATTTATCTATTAGTTCAGCTTGAAGGTTTTATATAAAACTCTATTACATCCTATATAAAATTAACATGCATTGGTGATTTAAATATGTTCATTTTTTTTTAATTAATTTTTTTATTATCAAAATAGATATAAATAAGGTTAAATAATCCACTATAGAAATAAACACTTTAAATAATAATATCACACAAGCAACTAGATAAAAACTAAAGAATTGATTGGATAAAAATAAAAAGTGAAATAAAATTTTAAATTAAAATCTATAAGATTTATGATATTTTAATACAAATAGTTAATTCAAGAATATTAAGTTTTAGATTTTTATTTCTTTTATTAAATCTAATTGATTATTTTTTATAAAAAAACTATTAAGAAATATTGTATTTATCCTTAAAATTATTTATATTATTTAAAAATCATCTTACATATATATTATTAATTTACATATACATTATTAATTTACATAATTTATTATTATTCATGTTTATAAATAAAAATTAAATTAATATTGAAATAAAAATTTAATTCTTGTAGTGAGTCGAATAGAAGTGGCAAGCATGTAATTGTCAAAGTTACTTGTACAACATGTATTAGCCATGACAATGTCCAAATTTCAACAATTGTCAATAAAGATCTATCTTAGAGTAATTCTCTTTTATTTTAGCTCTATCTTTACATGTCTCTTTTTCTTGACAATAGATGCCAAAGTAGCAATTGTGCCTATAAGAGGGCAAAAATGAATTCTATACATGTGTCAAATAAGTTTTTGTCCTATTAAATTTGTGTAAATAGACATCTATCTCTTAACCATATATTTACAAAATATCATATTTGAGATATATTTGTATAATTTTAAAATTATACCAAATAACAAAATTAGGATATTATTATTGCTACTAATTCTCTTGTAATTTTTAATTAGATTAGAATATAATCTTGAGTTGCTTTAAAAAATAATCTTGTAACTTGTTGTATAATTTGTAATCCATATTAAAATAGATAATATTATTCTAAGCCAAACATCTTTCAATTGTCTTTAATATCAATTCTTCTAGGATTTACTCATCTCAAAAATGCAACAATGGCAAAGAATAATAAAATTGGCTATATTTTTTAATTACAAATATATTAATATATTTACTATTCTAATAGCATCTCCAAATTTTTTAATATGAATAAAAGTAAAATAAATAATACATCATAATTGTTTTACCAAACCTAAATTTATCAATCATCCTATTTAATGTTTTTTTAGCTTGAATACAATAAGAATCATCTACATGTTGTAACAAACAAAGATTTCATTAGTTATAGTTTTGCCCTTACTTCTTTAATATTCTTTTCTAAATTACATACAAAAAATAAAAAGGTAATCATTTAAAACCTTTAATTCACAGTATGTGCTACATGAAAAAGATATTCTATCAAGAGGGATGGAATTCTAAGAAAGATTCTCTTAGCTAGTTACATACAAACAAAAAGTTATACAAAATTGGTAATCCTACATCAATTACCAATTCTCATTGTTTTATGATCAATTTGTTATACAAACTATGTCATATATATTAAAATACCATGTCCATGTCTCTTCTTATATCCTAAATACACTCCCTGTACCACAAGATGATATAAATATAGATTTGTTGATATTAAAAAATACAACCAAACCTCAAAAAGGCCAACTCTACAACTGCTAACAAATATAAATTTTTTAAAACTAATTCTACAACTACATCTTTGGAAAATTCTACATAATTTAGATCCAACTTTTGTCAAAATGAAACATCATATGCCCACAAATTCAATATTTAAGGTTCTGCACTTTCAAAGTTTAAAAATTGCAAATAAAAAATTGTAGATGGAAGTTTGATTGAATGAACAAGTATCATAAAATTCTATTCAGAAGTAGGCTATGGATAGTTGCTTTAATGTCAAACCTTCTTTTTAATTGTCTCACTACTTTTTCTTGTAATTTCATCATTTTATTATAGATTTTAATGATTTCAGATGCAAAAAGAGACCATTTAAAAAGTCAAACACAATCTAATAGTTTATAATGTTAGAATTGCATATTTTTATTAAATAATTTAGTAGTTAGTTCTAATTTTATTGACATTCTTTAACATTATTAAAAATTACATTGAAACAAGTACAGTTTCTTTTACTGTATTACAATTTGTATACATGATATTTTATTAAAACTTTAAAAGCTACTTTAGCAATTGTATTAACAACCATTGTGCCAATATAATACATTGTCTTTACACCACATTTACAATGGCCATTTTTATTAAATTTTTCTTTTTTTAATTATTTAAAGTATACTATAATTTACTATTATAAAAATTCTTGGATTATGCCAAAATAAACACCTTATCATATTTATTTTTTAAAACATATTACTACTAATTATTCATACAATAATTATATTAGATTTGATTATACTAGATTTTTGGACCATTTTTAATTGTGTAGTGAATTTTTTTTAAAAAAAATTACTTATAAATGAAAAGAATTGATATTAGTGAAAAAAATATATTAAAAAAATTAAATTATTTAATCAAGAGACCTTAATTGCATCATAGAAGATATTGTCTATGATAGGATGTATTTATAGGTCTATGCTTTAAGTCCAACATTGTGGCTAACAATTGATTTATTGTGTAAAAAAGTATAATGTATTGTAAGGAATCCTCCAATTAATTTGATTGATTGGATGCACCATCAAGTGCCTAGGCCACATGGCTTTGAAAAAGAGGTTTAGGGCAGTTTGTGGTGGCATTAGCAAAAACTTAGGTGACATCTCATAGATGAAAAATTATGGTGGCATTAGCAAAAATTGAGATGGAAATAGCAACATTATTTTTAATAATAGAATTAAGTTTTTTTTTTTTTTTTTTTTTTTTTTTTAAAAAATTCTTTGGTTTATTTTGCCAAATGTGAAAAATTTTAAAAACTACTTTTTTTGCTATTAGAATTTTTCTTACAATTTTTCTAACAAAAATAAAAATTAAACTTAAATTATCTACATACTTGATATGAATTAATTTTAATCAATCATGCATTAATCATAATTTTATTTTATCTAAAAATGTATTATAAACCATTATTTATATTTGTATTTATTATTAATTTTTTATTTATTTAAAATAAAAAATTATATAAAGTATGTTACAAGCTTTGTTATTTTTGAAAAAAACATGTACATAATAAAGAAGCTTCAATATAAGACAAAGACATAAAAAAGCATTCTCATTGGTTAAAAAAAAGATTTAAAAAAAAGATAAAAGATAAAAGAAATACTACCTAGCAAAGAAAAAACCTTGCATAACTTGCAAAAATATTTCTAGTTTACTATCTATATATCAGATTATTTTACAACTTTTCTATGCCGAATGGCATAGATTTTTATTAGTATAATATAAAATAAGAATTGTGTCATAACATATTCTAATACATTTGGCAACAATTTAAGCATGTCTTAGCATAAAATGTCTAAGATTCATAATTTAAAAGATGATTCAAGTGCCATTAGACCATTATTCAAGATTATACATTCCAAAAATCATACTTGAGTTTATGTTGGATTATTCCATTATGAATTAATAGGTAAAGAAGTCAAATTAAAACCGCTGAATGCATTTTTTCTATTTCAATCTTAGTTGAAGGTTTTTTAGTTTTTTGCACTTAAAAATGGTCATTTTAATATATTCTTATCATAAAATAATTATTTCTTTATTTTTAATTGTAAATGCATATATTATATTTTTGTGAGTATGCCTAAATTTATTTTATAAAATATTTATAAATATCATTTTTATTTTAAATAAAAAATTCTATAAATGAATTAATCATTTATTTATTTAAGCATATATTTATATAATATTTCTATTGATTATTAAAGTATAAAAAATAAACATCTTTATCTTTTTTTATAAATTTGAAGGATACAAGAACATACAAATGTAAAGAATTATACTTTAATAAAAATGTAAATGTGTTTCTTTTTTTCTTTTTTTCTTTTTCTTTTTTTCTTTTTTTAAATTTAAATTTCTTTGCATGTATCATTATGGTTTATTTTATTAAATTATTTTTCCAATCGGAAAATATTGTAAAACTAAAACATCCAATAAAATGTCAAATATGAGATAATTATTGATCTTAAACCAATCCAATTTCTTGTTGTTGTCTTACATGCATCCATGCTAAATCCTATTGCAAAAGTAGCTGAACTTGAGATAAAAAATACCACTTATTTCCTAATGATTTTTTTTTTTTTTTTTTTTTTTTTTTTTTACAAAGCCTCAATGCATTAATTGTCTTAGTATCATTTCTTAATATCAACAATGAATTTTTCTCAACGACAGCCAGTTAATGCAAAAAATTCACAAAAAAAATTATAAAAAATTATCCTTTGCTCTCAATATCTAGAACTCGAGTTTAAACTTGGATTTGTGTACATGTGTGAATATATATATATATATATATATATATATATATGTATATACATACATACATATACATACAACAATAAACACTTATGTGTCTATCTCAACTTCCATGAATCCATAATACACAAAAGCTACTTCACTTCTCACTTAGGATGCTTCTTCAACCTGTTTTGAATTAGGATGCAAGATGTTAAATTTTTGTACCATGAACCACTCAATCAATGCGTCGGATGCACCCCGTTTTTTTGTCAACAAAAACAAAAAACTTCGTAAAAATCTTAAACTTGTTCTAGTGAATCTATGACAAAGCATGACACAATCAGAAGGAGCCGATGGAACCCTTACTTAAAACAAAGAAAAAATACAGAAGCACACATACAAAAATACAGTAAGTAGTACATAAAGCCTAGCCCAACTACTTCCACCGAGAGCACTGGACAGCAATGATTGAATCCTTTACACTTCCAGACGTCAAATGAAAGCATGCATATTATACAATTTTATAGGGGCACATATAAACAGATATATATATATATATATATAAAGCGAGCATTACAGCCTCCACATGGTGGATGCCAAGTCTGTAACCCACACAGCGTTTGTGGGGCCACCGAAGGAGTTGATTACCGAAACAGGAAGAAAGAAAGCAGGCAATGTTTGTATGTATTGTATGTCTTCCATTCTTTCCGACCCCTCCTTGGGAATCGTGCTTTTTTAATGGGGCCTGTCGCATCTAGATCTCACAGTGCTGCTGCAGCTGCTGCTCATCGGGATGCTCTTCCGATGCTGCAAATACCTCGGCGTAGTAGAGCAGATTGTAGTTGTTGTTGCAGTTACAGTGCCCCAAGTTGAGAGAGAAAACGGTTGAAAGAGCAACTAGGAGATTTGTCACCGCAATGGGCACTGTTAAGTGTCTGAATTCGCGACAGCGTGCTCTCCGAATGCTGGGTAGTAGACATGACAGTCGTTTCTAGGTGACCCTGGTGGGAGTTTCAGGCTTGCGAGACTCCCCCTCTTCGTCAAAAGCTTTTTTTGTGGTCTTCGACGTCATGGCACATTCAGAAAACTTCCGTCTGGTAGGGTATCATAGCCCGATGAATGCTACTGCCCTAATGGTGCTCAACACTACTACTAGGGCCAGCAAGGGTACTACCACAAAAATCAGTCTAGGCTTTCACCGTAGGTAGCTATTTTTTTATTTCTTGCAGGACAAGCAAGCTAATGAAACCAGGAATATTGTCATCCTTAGATCGTAGTCGAGTAAATCTGTGGAAGCCTGGACAACATGCATGGCTTCCTCCGACGGGGTCAGACTTGAACTAAACACTTGTGAATCACACACGAGCTCTGACTGGAACTCATATATTGAAATGAAGTGTTCAACGCTTCAAGTAAAAAATTGAAATCTCAACGCCCCAAATGTGCTCAACAGAAGCGGTGGAGTGGCTGGAGGTTTGCAGCGTTCAAAATTGTATTGTACAAAGGAAATTATATACACTAGCATTTGCTTACATAGCTATCAACAATTGCCTCAAAGCGCGTCAATGACAAGAGAGAAGACTGGTGAAAGACTTCGGTCTAAGGGCATACACCCGATTTCTCGTAGGAACCTTCTGAAATTCTCCACCCTCTTCTGAGCTACTGGATGGTGAGATGATACCATCTGGCTGGTGATGCCGAGGTGCAAATTCTTGGGGTTTCGTGGGCGGCGCCACGGTCAAGCTTTGAGGAATGTTCTCCTTTCGAGGGATCATTTCCTGGATTGCAAGCAGGTTCAGTGACTCGTGCAAGTGAACGACAAAGTTCAGAAACCCTTGCTGCCGTCCGGAAGGCCTTCTGACCTGCCATAGCAAGAACAACGACAGTCATGGTTAGTTTGGCAATCGACTGGTAAAGATCGGTTGAGGACGAGTCAGCCATCAATCTCCAACTCCTAAAATACAAATTGATGAGGAAAGGCTCATCGACTGGCAAAGTGAAATAGAGTTCAACAGACGAACTAGGGAAGAGTATTGATCAGTGGGATTGACAGGCGATGTAAGCACAGTAATGGCAATTCCGAAGGCTGTACCGGGAGAGCGTGAAACTGACTGTAAACTGCGGCTCCCTTAGACCCTTCGAGAAAGATATCGCTGAGGTTTACGCTGACGAACCCTATACGCCTTGTGGAAACCAACCCATGGCCCAGCAACTCGATGTTCAGGTACATGCCGTGTCCGAGGGTCCGGAGGTCCAACGACATGGAGATGGTGGTATTCCAAACGGGGTTAGTGCCATGGGCCTTCAAGTGCATCGGAGATGGCACTCGAACACTCGGTTCAATCCACGCCACCGCGTACACAGACATCTTGCTCGCGCTTACTTTCTTCAGACCTGTCGCAGAATGCAGCACCACATCCAGCTTCCTGGCCTCTTTCATAGCGAAATAACCTAGCCACCGAGTTACTCCAAAAATGTTGAAAAAAACGGTCCGCGATCTGCACGAAACTGTGGTAAGACCACAAGCTGGGAAACTCAAACGAACACCTAGGTCTGAAGCTGGGAAATTTTCGGCTACAGGAGCACAAACTGGCGAAACACACTATGTGGATCCCTGGGTCGTCGCTGAAGAAATTCTTCCAATATACTAAAGACCGTCCCCGAATCCCAGTGATCGGCCGGAATGATAGAACCAAACAACCTGATCGGCGAAGGTGAATCTCGCAGCAAACTGTGCACAGACCAGGAAAAAAACAAAACAAAACTAAACTAAACAAAACCTTCGTGGGGTGTCGAAAGCGTGCCTCTCAATCTCTAACTCTCACTTGTCCGAAACTTTGAAACTACGAAGAACATGCACACACTAGCTCGTTCACTTTCTAGTCTGAAGCAAGCAGTCGTGCCGATTCAAAACCCGAAGCAGTTTCCACCTCCACGGACACTCAATCGTGACACCGATAATGTTAAGAAGTTTGAATTTCTGCGTTTTGCAAACCTTTCCAGATGACAAGTGATATTTTTCATGAACTGCGAGACTCAACAACCTGGAGGACGAGACTGCAGCCCAAACTCTAAATATAAGCGACAATCGAAGGCCCTAGCAAGGAGAGCGAGACGCTGTTTTTAGTGCGTTTTGTCTGAAATTCTTTTCCTGACTGCTGTGAAACACGGAAAGGAAACGACTGCGTGTCCTCCCCGCCGCAAGAGCGCACAGTTTCTAAAGTTGAATAAAGCGTGTGATTGCATCAGGATCATGTATATATGGTACTTCCCTCATCTCCAGCTTAGCGAATTACTATGGATCTGGGCAACCCAATGACATCATGTAAAACTATTAACAAAGCTGCATTATCACTTCCACCAGTTGAATAGTGCTTTTTATATTTCCTTTTCTTTCCCTTTCAATAGTGGGTGTACAATGCAATCACAAAATTATCCACAGTAGCACAGGGATTGATGCAAGTGGGTTGTTTCCTGTTCATTCAGGTACTATGAAGGCTTTGTATCACTGACTTGTTTTCAAGCACAGTGAAAATAATCACACATTTCCACTGCCTGAGTTGGGTGGTTGATGTTATTGTTGTTTTTATCCTTGTTATTCTTCATCGTTTTCGGCTGAGCTTGAGTATCCAGGTGTAACTCTACATTATAATAAACATTCAACTCCCCTGAGATTTTGCTTTGGGATGTCAAGTTGCAGGAGTTGGTGTTCCAATGTCAACCTGTGTAGTCATAGACCTCATCCAAAAGAAGCTTCCATCAACTGCTTTAGTTCCAGCATGCTTTGTCTTGCACATCTCTCATGTTTTATTTCTTTTTCCTTATTTTTTCCAGTAAAGATGCACTGTCCACCACCACCACCCACATGATTGATATGCTCAATGCCATGTTAGTTTGCTGCACCTGGTGTGTGTGTGTAAAAGCTGAACATAAGTGTTGGTGGAATTTTCTAAAGTGATATGTATGTAAGTGTGTAAATACTTGAGCAATCAGTCATGAGCCTTGCAACTTCTGTTTGTAACTATACTGGGTTGATTGGATTGGCATTGTTGAGCTTTCTATCAATTCTTTGTTCCTTCAAATATATCATGGAAAAACATATTACAGATTATTTTTAAATTGATTTTATTTCTTTTGTGTAAATAGTAAATCATAAATAAAACGAAATCCAAAAATAAAAATATAAATAAAAAACAATATCAATTATAACAAAATTGGTTTCAATTTTAGATAGTTTTGGAGAATCGTGACTTGTGTTTGGTGAAAAAAAATATACAAGCTATTTCTGCTTGTAATTATTCTTTCCCATCACAAAATCATTCTGCCAGCACGTCAGCAGCAAAAACAGCAACAACAAATTCCAAAACAACAACAACAACTCTGCACAAGAATCAATTTCAAAGCTTACATCTGTCAACTCCTCTCTGTAGACATGTCTCATGTCTACAAAACTAAAATAGCTTCTACCCAATTTTCAAAAATACTAAGTAAAAAAGAACATACACCCACACGTCCGCAAATTTGCAGAAAGGGACACACGGCAATACCAAAGGTTCCTGAAATGAAATGTTTATTCATTCATTCATTCATTCATTCATTCATGTGCCTCCATTATTGACGCTCCCTCTCCCACCACCATCACCAAAGGCTTTTGTGAAGACAAGCAGACAAATGGGCTTATTAGGATTACTCCATTGCAGAGACAAGGAAAGGGATGGCAGGATGAGCTCCCACCCTCTAATAAAAAAACATCAACAACAACTACAAAAAAAACATAATAATAATAATAAGAAGAAGAAATTTATAAATAAAAAAATAAAAAATGAGGCAGAGCTGATGCACAACCCCATTGGCATGAATCTCCCCCACTACCCTTTTTTTTGTGCTTACATTGGATGTCTCATTGTGTGTGTGTGTGTTCATTATTGGTGATGGTGCACATGGCTTTTTCTCATTGATTTGTATACCACTAGTAGAAAATATATCTGTTTTTGAGTAACTGAAATAGTTGTGATTAATTTTGATGTATATATATAAAAATATATATATGTTTTGTTTGGAGATGCCTTTCATTTTAGAGACATTTTTTGAAAACTATGATTGATGTTTCTGTGTCCTTTTGGAGATAGTTCTGTAGGCAACAAGTAGTATTCTGGTTGGTAAATTTCTTATTCATTGTTTGTTTGTGCATCATATATAGTTAAATAGAAATGGATATTAATGCAATTATTATCATTGGTGCAACAAGTGTTTGTTGGGTTTACAAAACCAATACTTTTGCTACTAATTTTATGCTTCTTTCACATCACAAAGAAACATTCCACTTTATTATATGTTAATATATGATATTATTATTATTATTATTATTATTTTCTCTTTATTTTTTCCTTTTGTAGAAAAGTACTTGATATTTGTTAACATTGGTCAACAATAACTTGAGTGTGAAGTGGCCCTAGCTTCAGACGTTTGTTTTACTTTTATTTTTAACATAAATACTTGCTTTGTGTTACAACTATGGGAATGTCTTTGAAATGGACTTTAAAAGCAAGTAAAAAGAATCTATAAAATAAAAGTCCCAAAAAAGAAAAGTAATAACTTTCACTGAATCAAACTACCACCTCAACGACCACAAAACACTGAACAAACTCTTTTTTTTCTTCTCATAAATATCGCCACATTACCTTCCAAAAAACACTGAAAGATTTAATTTTTTGTGGTTTTTTTTTTTTGGTTTGTTTTGTTTTGTTTACTGTTGTTAGCCTCTCCCGCCTCATCACCCTAAATACACCAAACAAACTGTTCTATTAATTAGCATCATTTTTCACGTCACCTTCCAAAAAAGAACACGGTCCACAAAATTCATCAGTTCCTAACCAGCAACAAAAACCACCACTCCAAACAAACAAACAACAAACGCACTTACTGTCAACATAATAATAATAATAAAAAAAAAAAAAAAAAAAAAACCATTAATCCAGACAACCACAACCAGAAACATCAGTGTCGGTATCACAATCCCAGATCACCTTCACACAATCATACCCACCGATTGTATGCTCCCTTCAGCACAAAAACAGCAAAACCAAGTGTAAAACAAACAACGGAAAGAAAAAAAAAACCGAAGCAAGCGAGACACACACACACACTTACACACACACAGAGCATATTCAAGCCAGGGAAAGATCCCCCGCAATGGGTTCCAGAAGCGGACACACACAGAGCTGGTCAAACACTTGGAGCGCAAGGCTCCTCCTCTGCCAGCGGTGAGCTACAGTGAAAAGAGAAGGAAAGGGGGAAGAAGGAAGGACTGATGGATGGACCACTACGACGACGACGACGATGCCGTCAAGTCGGTAAACGTTGACTGCATCCTCCCTTCTGCCAGTCACGAAGTTTGCGCATCACGCCACAGTTCTCCCGATCGCCGCTGCCTTTTTCGGTGGAGAAGACTCGCAGCTTCTGCTGGATTTGTTGCCCAGCAACCTCACCGAAGGTGCTCCCCCTTAACTGCTTGCGCGCCGTCACAGACCGGGGCTCCAAATTAAGCGAGTGGGCTTGTTGCAACCTCGTGGATCCACCTGGAATTGGGTGGTTGTGGTCGTTGTGAGATGGGGTTTGCTGTGAGTGGTTCCAGTTGTGTGTTGACTGATCCGGTGGTTCCCAGCCTTGCGACGTTCCTGGAACATGGCTTTGTCGAGGGATTGATTGTCTGTGGGCATTCGTTGCCTGAGGTTGTTTGGATTCGATGGATGATGGTTCATCGTTCGGTTGGAGGATCTTCACTGGTGTGTTTCCTCGCGGCTCACGTGAGTATTTCTGTGAAGGTAGTGGCTTGTGGGTTACGACCGCTGATCCCCCGGAGGCGGTCTGTGGGGTAAAATACTGCACGTCGGGATTGTTTAATATACCACGAGCTGGAATAAGGCGCTACGGCTCCGGGATCCATCAGAGTTTGTGAACCTGGCACGAAATTGGAGTCTCGATCGAATTAACGAATGAGCTCCCACTCACAGACTCCTATTCTACAAACGGTCTTCAATATTTTAACCGAGAAGATTCTACCGTCACCATCACCACCACCACCACCACAATCCACAATCCACAGTGATTAACGTACCTGACAAACGTTCCACGTTTATATTTTACATGCTAGCACAACCGCATCCAACTGTTACTGTTGAGAAAAGCACCTCAACGCACGTCAAGCGGAAGCATTCAGAAGGCGCACTGCTACTGGTTCGGGAACGATAATATTCAACATGAGCCTGGCACTGCACGGAGCAGCAAAAGTGCGCTTCTCCTCAAAACTGCTCCGGGGAATTTCTTCCGCAACAAAGTCAATCTGCGAGCCTGGCTTCGATGGTTCACAAGTCGCCCCGCTAGGAATCTGCGCAGCGGGCGAGGACCGGCAGACATTCAAAGGAGGTTTGAAAATCCACTTCGACATGGTCATACTAGCAAACAAGTTAATTTGCAAAAGTGGGTGTTCAATGAGGTGCAGTATCTTGACTTTCTGGAAGGAATATTGCGGTTTTTGATTCCTGGTGTTTCTCTCTTCTATCATTCTAGATAAGTTAGAATAGCAAAAAATGAAGTTTGCGAGTAAGGAGTCTTCGTGATCCGTGTCGATGATATTAGAATAATATATATATATTGTTTGCAAGTGGTAAGAAATTGTCTTCATTTTTAGTCTACGAGTGTTGCGGTGTTCAGTGGAAGTTCATCCAGATGGAGGTTATGAAATATTGAGCTCCGGTTTTTTTGTTTTGTTTTTGCCTCCTAATGACTTAGTTTGTCTCATATTATGTGGAGGATTGTTTTGGCAGTTTGTATTTCTTGGGGCGTGCTTAGTAGTCATTTTGTTGTGGTTTGAAAGAAGTGTGATTTGAAGTGCCTTGATACATGTTATTTCCATCTTTCTTCTTCTTTTTTTAATTTTTAATTTTATTTTCAATACTTTGTTCTAATGTTTAGAAATATGAAAAACTCTTGTAATGAACCAAATCAACTGCTCTTGATCCTGGAATTCTATCTGGTCAACAATAAATATAAAAAATAAAAAAGGAAAAGAAAGGAAAAGACAATCATCAATAGTTTTTATACCATGCACACGCCGTTCTGTAAGAACCCACTTTTTCTTGTGTTCTTCAAATTTAAAGTTAAAAGTATCTCAGAAAAAGATATGGACAGAAAGATAAAGAGATATTAAAACACAAAAAATAAAAATCATTTTT